TCTGGAACTACAGGCACGCGCTACCACGCCCGGCTAATTTTTGATTTATTGTAGAGATGAGGTCTCGCCAAGTTGCCCAGGTGGGTCTCAAACCTGCAGGCTCAGGCAATCCACTCACCTCAGCCTCCCAAAGCTGTAATCCCAGGGGTTTACAGGCTGAGCCACTGAGCCCAGCTCCAAAGATTTTTATAAACTTTGAGACATCTTTAATCTTTTATAAAAAATTACATTTATTATATTAATAAATTAGTGAATACCAACATGACTGAAAAATAATACTTAAATAGATTCATCTTTCATAAATTCTCAAATGTAATTTTGCAAAGCTTCCTTACTTAATGGCACAATAAATGTTCAGGTTTATCTTTTTTTTTTTGAGTTGGAGTCTCACTCTGTCGCCCCGACTGGAGTGCAGTGGCTGCTCCTGGCCACCGCAGCCTCGACCTGCTGGGCTCCAGAGATCCTTCCGCCTCAGCCTTCCAAGTAACTGGAATTACAGGCGCACGCTACCACGCCTAGCTGAGTTTTTGATTTATTGTAGAGATGAGGACTCGCTGCCCAGGCGGGTCTCGAACCCGCGGGCTCAGGCAATCCACTTACCTCAGCCTCCCAAAGGCACGGGATTACAGGCTCAGGTTTATCTTGTACCTTCCTGCCTCAGGCAAGAAATAGGCCAGCTCTGCAAGGGGCCCTGATTCTTTTTGTCTTAACCTTGGGAAGTGGATTAAGCAGGCATTAGCCCCATCTCGCACAAGTTGTCTGTTAGTGGAAACAAGACACAAATAGGATGCTCAGAACATGGTCCTCCTTGCATTTTTTTGCCTCACCAAAGCCCATATTGCCAAAATAAAACTATTAGTACTTCAAAGCCGTATTTTCTGGGGGTTTTTTTTTGTTCGTGTTGGAGTCTCGCTCTTGCCACTCAGACAGGAGTGCAGTGGCATGCTCACAGCCACGGCAGCCTCAACCTGCTGGATTCAGGTGATCCTTCTGCCTCAGCCTTCCAAGTAGCATGAACTATAGGAACGTGTTGGGGACCGACTGCAAAGGTCTGCCTTCTGACATGGTCAAGGAGACTGATGACCCCGGACGGCATTGCACCTCCAAGAAAGCGGCTGTTCTGCTTCTCCTGCTTTGCTTAGTCATGCTGCCAGTGGAAATCCTAGGGGTTAAGAAACCACACCTTGCTAATCAACCACAGAAAAGACTCCGGGGGATTGCAGAGAATTTTATCTACTCACCCTGTGGCTATAGCACAGAGAGAAAAATCATAGCCTGTCTTGTAGTGACGTGCCTAGATATCCCCATTAAATTACCAGACAAATCTTATACCCCCTTAAGGGAAACCCCCAACATTATGCTAAGAAACTGGGGCTGGTATTATAGGGGCCCTGGAGGTCAACCTGCCAATACACAAGCAGGAACCCACTTTCCCTGCCAAGGAATTATAAATGAAAACTATAAATATAATGTGTTCCTTAAAGGCAAACTGGAACTATTTGGTCTTGATTGGAGACGAGTTAGAGAGATATGGGGCTGTAGATGGAGGCCCACTAATTGTAGATTGTTGTGCAGTTGTACTGGCAGGACCCCAAGAAATGTCAGTGTTCTGAAGATTGATTTCTCTATGATTACACAAATAAAAGTTTAGTCCCTTGTGGCAGAAAATATTTGCTAAAGTGTACTTGGCTATAGTTAAATATATAACAGGTTGACCTTTGCTGTTACGTGATTTCTA